ACTGTAAGAAAGAAAACTTGAATGAATCTTAGAATGTTAATGGACTAGGTACAAGATATTTCTGAGATGTTAGGTCTGTGAGCATGACTTTGAGGTAGCTCAGATTTTCTTTGTTTATTTCTGTTAGCATTCCTAAGTGTAGTTAAACATACAGTTGCAGTTGGCAGTGGCACATACTGTTTCTACATTAAGTATTCATCTCCAATGTATAATTGAACATTATTCACATAAAACAGTGAAAATTTTCTACTTGTGGAGAAAGGAGATAGTCTTTCATGCATATGCCACACATACACATGCATAAAGTCATTAACTGTTGAGAATTTTTGTATCTAAAACGTATATTGATTTTCATCAAATCTGAGGACAAAAATCTGAGTAATTGCAAGGTATGGTTCATCTTATGATCCATTTTCTTCAGCATAATGATGGATTTTAAACTTTGTTAGTCATTTTTATATCTTTTTAGTCGGAACTTTTACCATGTAGTTCAGCTCACTGTAACACATTTTTTTTTACTGCAGAAAGACATGGAAAAAGATCTTGTTTTCTGGCAACTTCAACCGAATGTCAATAAGAAAAAAGGTAGTAAAGAACATTTTTACTTCATATTATGCGTTGATGACATAAACCTTTTCTTTATGTAACTTTTTACCATATTCGTTTCCCCTGTATTTCAGTTCACAACTCTGATTTTTACTGTAACACATTTTTTTCACTGTAGGAGAGCATTTTAAAAAAAAAAGATCTTGTTTTCTGGTCACTTCAACCGAATCTCATAATGAAAAAACTGATCAGAACATCTTTTACTTCAATATCATGCACTGAGGTCTGAAGTTTTGGTCAAGCATGCTTTCATAACTGATGGTAAGTTGGTGCTAACCCCACTAGAGATATATCAGATGAAGAAGCACGTGAACAATTCTGGAAAGTGCATACTGATGCAACATCATTCATATCACTTCCTTTAAGACCTTGATGTCTAATCTATGGAATCAAAACGTGAAATTCTTCAAAACATGCTCATTCTGCTGAAGCAACTTTCGCTAGTTGTTTCATCCAATGAACGCAATTGCTATCTTGCTTCATACTTGTCTTATTAAGTATATATGTGTTTTGGTGGTTTTGCACGACTAGAGAAGCATGCCCTTAAAAAATGCAATTTATCTAACTTTTAAATCAGATGGTGAGTTTTCAAGGTCCTTTGCCACAATTTCTCCAAATACAAATGCCTAAAATTAAAGGCAATGAAGGAATAAAGATGGAAAAATATGTGAGACTTACATAGTGAGAGGAGACATGATATTGATAACAAAAAAAAAAAAAGAACATTACAGCAAAATATAAGATGAAAAGCTAAACGGAGAAGTGCTGGGTATTACTATTTTGTTAGAAACTAACATTCTACCGCTTGCTGAATAACTACAATGCTTTCTGCTAAATGCATGGCACACCAAGGGCGCTATGTCAAATTTGTTGAAGGAAAATGCATCTAGTTTGGTTAGACCAAGTATTGAAGAATTCAGCATGCTTTTGGGTTAAATGAAGTTTGAATTTATTGAAGTCTTGTGAGAGATTGTGTTGTGTTGAAAGAGAGTGTGTGTGGATAGATTGTGCAAATAGGGGTGAGTAAAACTAAATCGAATCAAATTTTATCTATTTGATTCGGTTTATTTGATTTTTTGATTTGATTTAGTTTTTTTATTTTAAATATTTTAGTTCATCAGTTCGATTCGGTTAGTAAAATTTAAAATCGAATAGACCGAACCGACCGAATTATATATAATTTATTAATTTATAAATTATATTTAATTTATAAATTATTTTATTTTATTTTTATTTTTCATCACTCACGTGTTTGTTTTGTTATAATTATATATTTAACATGGCTATGACTGGATTATGATATTGTGACTGGATTATAAGACCATTATTTGATCATCGGTGTTTATTTGTGGTTGTTTATTTAATTATCCATACCTTTATAATATTTGAGCTTTATGTCATATGGGTGTAATTAAAATAGGTTTATATTGAAAAAAACGAATAGAAAAAAAAAGCCTAATTTTATAGTGTTGTTTGTTTTAATATTTAAAAAAATGGGCCTAATTTCAATAACCCAATATGAAACCAAAAAAATGAATTAAGAAACCGAATCGAATTATCAAATTTTGGTTCGGTCCTTGTTCTATTTGATTGGTTTGTTTGATTCAATTTAGTTTTCATTTTCAGTGTTATTCAATTGATCGATTCTGCATATTTTGGAACCGAACCGACCGATACTCACCCCTATGTGCAAACACATATGTGTGTGATAACTTCTCTTTTTATTAGTACAAAGTGATAGTTTTTCCATGGCTCCATGTTTCATTTTTTTAGAGTCATTAAATATAGTTTTTTCCATGTTTCTTCACTTTTGTTTTCTTACTAAATTGATGTGTGTTTGACCAAGTCTTTTTATAACTTTCTTCCTTTTAAAAAATCTTGATAGATATGGGCCAAAATTAACCTGTTTATCCCAAATAGTTGGGCTTAGAACAAAAATCAAATTTTAGCCCCAAAAAAGTGGTTGTTCGTGCATTAACTATATAGCCTATAGTTACTTATTTGATGGAATGAAATGACAAGTACATTTTCAAATTCACAATTAAGCAAGCCCGTGCAAGCTAAATCAATATTGATATGAATAAGTATTGAAATAATTGCGATAAAGAAAACCAGACATGAGATCCACTAATCAAGAATATATATGAGCACTGGCCATTGGATATATGGATGTTCGTCTTTTGCAGACAGCCTCAAGGAATCCAAGGTTTTTTAAACTTTTTTTTAGGAAAGAAAAAGAGAAGGAATAGAGAGGGGAATGAAAATTATTGAACTATTGGTACATATCTTGTCCAGATTCATTGCCATTTTTTTCAGTTTTTTTTTTTTAATTTATATCTATTTTCGCTTCATTTCCCAACCAAAGGCTGAACTTTTATTCAAATCAATCATCCAAAACAAGAAAATAGTATGAAAAAGATGTCAAAATGGAAGATGGAATATGACCTTCATGGTTCAAGTTCAGTTGTAATTTGGGGAGTTGATATATATATATATATATATATATGAATGATGCTGCTTAATTCATCCTTAGGGTAATATTAAAAGAGGATGATTGAACATTAATAATTAAGATAGATTAAGTATTTGAAATTCTAAAAAAAACTGTCAAAAATATTTACTTAGATTTAGATCAAATCTCCACTAATTCCAACACAAGATCCACCCCCACCACCCCCCAAGTGCAGGTCTCTAGGTGGAGAGAGGTGAGGACAAACAAGAGAGGTTTGATAAGGCTCACCGATCCCTTGTCTCTAACTCTCTATTTCTTCATATGGAGATGCCTGGAGGGTCCTGCTAAACTTTGTTTGTATATAGCCTGTTGTAACATTTTTCTCATGATGATTATGAATATTTGGAATCATGGCCAGACCAAAAGGCAGAATTGCCTGAGTGCTTCACATTTGTCTGATACCTCCTCCTTCCATCAGGTGACATTGGCATATGAGGAATCCTTTAAGAAGACAGTAGTACTTTGCCGAAACCCCACTACCATTAATGAACAAAGGCTGGTAATTTCTTGCAACTTGACACACAGTTGTTCTTGTACGTAATGAGGCCACCTCTTTCAGCACCAGCCTTAACATTTGCAGGCCAAATGGGCACCATTTGAAGCTCTAGCTAGATTCAGTATATCAGCTACCATTATTTGCTCCACCAGTAATTTCCCCACTTTGATAGAAGCATCCTGGGGGTGGGGGGAATTCTCAATGGGATGTGATATTAATGTACTTGTAAGGTAGTGGTAATATTAGTGGCACGCCTTTGTCTCCTATCTTCTATTGTAAATTGTACCTCCTACTTTCACCCTGTTTTGGATGATTTGTTATTTCATTTCAGAATCCATCACCTAATTCTAAGACCAAGTAGAATGATTACCACTCCGAAAGCACTCCAAAAATGTAGTTAAGTCATGAGTTTTATTTAAAAATAAAATAAATTTTCAATTTTACCTAAATTTAAATGAAAAATTCTTTATATTTGTAGTACGTTAATTGAAAAAACTTAATTAATTCTAATCAAATACTTCCTCTATCCCAAATTATAAAACAGTTTTAGACAAAATCTCACATACCAATAAACATCATTCCTTAATCTACCCAAAATATTATATTTTGGGACTGAAAAATTTCTTCAAAAGTATCCTATAATTTGAAACGGAGGAAGTAACTTATAATAAAAATTATCTATCTTTTTTTAAAAAATGCCTTATAATAAAGATCATAATTTCATAAGTCATCAAACATTTCAATTACATTAATGAAGACAGATGGTGAGACAAGTGAAGGGGAAGTAGTGACATACTAAATTGCAGTTGCGGCTAACACTTAGTACTTTGGATTTAACAATTTTATTTAACATTCCGCTCCAGCCCCAACGTTGCACAACTGCAGAAGCTTCGTCATACTTTTATTTACCAAAAACGATTGTTTTACACACTTTTTTTTCCATTCTTAATCTAATGAAATGTTCACTCTTGTTTTCAATGGATTATCGATTCTATCTCCAACTAACAAAGAATGAGGCCTAAAGTAGGAAGCTGGAAAGTGGAAGGAACTCATTCCATTTCTATGGCCCTCACCAATAATTCTACTTTCGCAGGCTTTAATCTTGATGCTTGCTGACCACAATAGGCCTCTCAAAAGCAATTCAACCCCACTCCTCCACCCACAATAAAGACAATAAGGAACATCAAAGCTATGATTCAAATCACCCGTTTAAGAAGTTGGGCTTAAAAAAACTAATTACCCACTCAAGAGCAAAAACCTAAACCTGGAATGTGATTTAAGAGTGAGAATTTCCAGCACCAACTTAAAGGGATTACCATTCTACCCTCGAGCAAAATAAACATGCTTAAAAAAAGGAGGAAAACGGTGATAACACGGAAGGCGGTATAAAGAAAACAGTCACATCTTACTTAAAACTTCAATATATGTAGTGGCCACAATGCCTGGAGGATACAGCCCAAAATGCAAAATAAAAAGAAATTAAGACAAGCACATTAACTATGACAAAATATACTGTCAACCTAATAATACTCCACATCCCAAACAGCTCTAAAACAAATGGCCTATGAGCATATTCAAGCTTAGCCAGGTTGGAAACAGCAACTCCAAAGGACGTCACCAAAACAGTATGGAATGGGAAGTTATGCCTTGCCTTTCCCAGCTTGGAGCGACTGAATCTTTTCTTGCAATTTTAGAATCTGAAAGATTACGGATAGAAAATGATACAATGAATCATCTGCTATCCCATCTAACTAATTTTTTTTTTTTTTTTACTGGGGAATACAATGTAAGGCATTCTGAGTTTAATTGCAGGGACCCAATCAACCACAATAATATATGGGTACACTTTATTTAGTTTAATTTTTTTTTTTTACACATGAAGGCATTCAAAATGGAAAAAAAAAATGATGCAGTATGGAGAAAACATTAAATATTTTTCAGCAAGAGGCCTATTTGCCGGGATTTATCTTTAAAAAGCCTATGCAAAGCCCTGCAACATGTACATGATAACGATAAGATAAGCTGTTAAGCGTGGACCTTAAAAAATACTGCAGTCAAATCCATCATTTTTTCAAAATTTTTGAAATTTCCAATACCATTATTCAGTTATTCTTCTAAAGAACAGCTTTGATATAACCAGACTGTAGTTGGGTAATTTTAAAACCAATTAATCCATCGTCCTTCAAAGCACAATTACACACTGATAAAATCACATTCAGCCTCAAGTCTAGATAAAACTAATTTTTATGTTTATCTTACCTACTTTTCCACAAGAATAACGACATAACATATATGTCATCATATTTTTGTTTCCAAAAAATAAGATTAGTATATATGTAACTTAATAGAGTTTCGAGATAATGGGTGATATGATAAGATAGATATTATAAATAAATATTATTTTTAATTTATTTTAGATTGTATTTAGCATTATATAGATTCTAGGAGATTTTATTTAGTTTTATTTAATTATCTAGTTATCTAAATTTTATTCATTATTTTAAATTGTATTTAGCATTATAAATATGCTTAACAACTTAGAAACCAATATATCATGAATAAAACAGACTTTTGAGACTTTTGGCACTTTGAAAATTCTCCTAAGCGTGGCTATTGAGAAAAGTGTAGAACGAGATTTTTGTTTTATATCATCTTGGTAGATTTATTTCTTCTATTTTCTCCTATCAGTTCTATGTTCTCTTATTAATATTATAAAATTAGATTCTGATTTCATATGTCAATAGAAATTTATATTCCTTATTTCTCTTTACTTATCTTCGAACCCTATCATTTGGCATTAGAGCCGTTCAATCCAAAGATGGTACTTACCTATTCCGCACACCCATCCCATGCTATTATCATCCATCTTCTAGAACACATTTTTTCAAGTATAATAGTGGAGATCCACAACCATGGATTTTAAAGGCGGAAAATTATTTCCAATATTATCACACTTCTGAAGACTTCAAAGTTGATATTGCATTGAGACATTTAGAGGGAGATGCTCATGATTTCTTCACTTCGATTAACATGGAACGTACAATCCCTTATTAGGAAGAATTAGTGGAGGTATTACTAGAAAATTATAAGCCCTTAGAATATTAGAACCCAAATGAGTTATTATGTAGCATCAATCAAATTGGTTCTATGCAGGAGTATCGTTTGGAATTTCCTAGGCACTCTACTCATGTGAAGAACTGGCCGGAACATTGCCTCTTAGGAGTCTTCATCAAAGGCCTCAAGGAGAAGCTCAAATCTAACGTTCGGATTCATAAACCTAAGACAGTTTACCAAGCTGTTAGTTTGGCCCTTGAATATGAGTTAAAAGCCCAAAACTCTTGTGGGCTCAAAACTACCCAGCAAAACCAAACTAATCATTTGTTTCCTTCAATCCCTTATCAAACAGCACATGACTTCAAAGAGACATCAGCATTGACTTCAAACTCCCTTTGGCCAAAAACTTCAACCTCGTTTCCTCACAAGCCAGCATCTAAAATGGCTTCCATGGAAGCCAAACAGCATCGACAAGAGATGACACTGTGTTTCAATTGTGGTGAGACTATCAAATCTGGGCATCACTACAAGGGATCTTTTTCGCTGTTGGAAATTACAAAGGAGGGTGAAGAAATTGTTCCTTCCCTTGAAGAGGACAAAACCATGGAGATGGAACCTAGTGGGGTTGAAATTTCCCTCAATGCTATTCTGGATAGCAACAACATATCTACAAAGAAGCTTCAAAATGCCAGGTCCTGAACTTGGTGGATAGTGGGTCTAACTGCAACTTTATCCTTGAAGTTCCCATGCAGCCTCTTGTTCAACCTTTTGGAATCCACATTGGAGATACTTCTATTTATCTATTACTCCCATCTCAACCTTCAGATTCACAAAAAAGCTATTGCCTATGTCTAGCTTTGAGGACAAGGCCAATTTTCAAGAGGGGAGTATTGATAGAGTACCAAGATAATGGTTAATCTGGAAAGATAGATATTATAAATAAATATTATTTTTAATTTATTTTAGATTGTATTTAGCATTATATAGATTCTAGGAGATTTTAGTCAGTTTTATTTAATTATCTAGTTATCTAGATTTTATTAATTATTTTAGATTGTATTTAGCATTATAAATATGCTTAGCAACTTAGACACAGGCGTATCATGAATAAAACAAACTTTTGAGATTTTTGGCCTCTTAGAGATTCTCCTAAGCATGGCTATTGAGAGAAATATAAAACGAGATTCTTGTTTTATATCATCTTGATAGATTTATTTCTTCTACTTTCTTCTATTAGTTCTATGCTCTCGTATTAATATTAGGAAGTTAGATTATGATTTCATATGTTAATAGAAATTTATGTTCCTTATTTCTCTTTACACATCTCGGAACCTATCATAACTCATTTCAACAAAAAAAAAAAAATTCTATTATACAGAGATTCTAGTTACTGACCACAATCAAAGATCAAATACATCAATATAGATCATAAGAACTGTGAAACCACAGCTAATAAATGGGCATAAAAGTGATATACAAACCGTTTCTTTCTTGCTATTTTGTTTCTCTTCCAGATCTTGAAGGGTAGCATCAAGACGCTTCCTAACATTCAAAAGGACCATTTCTAAATAAATATATGCGACAGTGATAACAACTGTAATATGACTTTAAGGTACTAAAACTAGCTCAACTATTACAAAATGACAGCAATGAAAGTCACAACATGCAGCAACCTAGAAACAAATAACTGTAAAAACGCATAAGGGGGAAGGAGCTTGTGAATGTTCACAGGTCTTTCAAGATTAACAATCATAGTGGAAGTTGTGAAGCAGCTAAGAATAATAAAAACCTTCACAAGCTAAGGTATAAAAGTAATAAAACAAGAGCTACTCAGGGCTGGTCCAAGTGATAAAGGCAAGGTGGGATGTGGAATGTAACTAGGGTTCAAATTTCCCAGTAAAACCAACAAGTAACAAGACGAGAAAGTTTTATTTCTACACTAGAAGCATAACCGTTGACTCATGATATGCATTACAAATCAGAAAGCATAGATCTAAATCATGAATGGTAAAATATGTTGAATTGTAAGATTTAATGACAAGTGAAAAGTAACATGAAATATAAGATATGGCATACATATATCCTTGTAATATGCCTTAATTACCCGAAATCATAAAAAAAGTTAAGAAAGCACTTAAACATAAGTCGTAGATAAGTCATTAGTCATATAATTTGTAAGTAATTGATCATTTAATTCTTGAAAGTATGGAAGCATGATGCAGAGGTGATATCACAAAAGAAAGGGAAGTTCAAGACACAGCTGATTGGGATACAACACTATGTGAATTCACATGATTAAGTACCCATACTGACCCACAGCACACTATGAAACAAGGTCATATTTATCCTATGATAGTCTATACGAAGCTACATGACAAAGGCTTCAGGAGATATGACACATCAAATCCAATAAAAGTTCTAGTATACAAGACTACAAGTTTTACAGGAAGAGAGATTGGTGGAGTAAAACTTATTCAATAATTAGTAGGGGCAGCCAATCAAATAATACTGTATTTCATATTGTAAAGAAACTTAGTATTATTAGGTTGCCTAAGATCTATATGGAAAACCAAGTCCAAGATCATTAATCACGACGTGTACAGAACCAGTCCTTGGATTCAGAAGAATTCAAGATATTGGCGAAATGTCAATGAGTGAGGCTCTTTAAATAGCGGATATCTAGGTAATTTTCAGCAGAGCATTGAAGCAGCTCACTTCTGAACATCTTCTGACAGCTGAATCTGCTTTCCCTCCTCATTCAAACCACATTTCTGAAGCCCAGAATTCTAGCAAGGGGAGTAGTTCTACCCACATCAATCCCCTTTTCATTATTTCCCACGCATATAATCCTATAAAATCAATCGAACGTCTGGGCAGCATAATCAACCAAAATGCTAACACTAGGTTTTACCAGGAAAATAAAAGGTGAGCAGCCATTTGCCTCATGAATAACTTGTCCATATTTCGTAGTGTTACTTTTCTTTATCTCAAAAATAAATAACAATAAAACCAACCCCACACAGAAGCAGAGATAGCTGCGTGCAACATCATAAAATTCAACTCAACAATCTAGCCAACCCGTGATTACTTAAACAGATAAGAAGTTTATCAGAATCACAGCTCTAACCACCACTTACTAGAAAAATAAAACCGCACTTACAATTCAGCAGAGATATATTCGATTCTCTTGCGCACGTTTGCATTAGCCTCAGCCAGGTCCTGTTTAACAAGTACTGGGCCAATCAACTTGTAGACATTAGCGCCTTCTGTCAACAAATCCAATTCCTGCCCGAACAGAACAGGTTACTCATGAAAACGCAACAAACAAGAAGATTCCAACACAAAAGAATGAAATAGCAATCAAAAAGAAAGTAATAGAAAGAGGAACCTATACCTTAAGGACAAGCTCATTCTCCCCGAGCTGGATAGTATATTTCTTTCTCAATTGGTGATTCTTCGCAATATCTGATCGAATAAACAAATTATAACGAGAGATAACCCGAAAAAATGAAAAACAAAAATTGCAAGAAATGGTGGGAAGAATTATGAAAGCTTGCCCTTTTGAAGCTTGCTGAGATCGTTAGCTTTGTTCTCCAGGTCGCGTTGAGCGTCCCGAAAGGCGGCGGACGAAGCCATCGAATCGGCTCGCTGTTGTTTCCGTCCGACGTCCCTCTTCGTTCCAGATTTACTCTAATTAAGTCCAAGCCCAATATCGGAGACCGGCCCAGTAATTCAAGCATCTAAGTTCAAGCCCAGAATCAGAGTCTAGCCTAAAAAGTTCGAACACCACGGATCGCACGATATGGGGTTCCTCGGATCAATCGTAATTGGGAGTTGACCCCATGTCGCTTAAATTTGTCACACTCGCTCATGTTAATTAATTATTGAATTATTGATTGATTATTTTACAGATAAGAAATTTTCACGTTTAAATTAATATGCCTTAAACAGTTTATTAGCTTAAAACGACTGTATTTATATGTGTGTGATCATTTTTTTTTTTTTGGGTAAGGGTGTGTGTGATATCATTTAAATTGTAAGAGAAAATGGGAGAATGGGAGGTGTTAAAACCTATTATCAACATATCCATACAATTTTATGAACAGATTTGAATGCTACTCGTGAAGATGCAAAATAATTTATTTTGTATTAATCTAGAAAGAGTTATACACAAGTATTTATATAAAATACAATATGAGTAAACAATAATACTTAAACCAAAACTACAGACCATAAGGTAAACAACATCCTACATGTTATATCAGATAGTCTCAATACTCTTCCTTAAGTTAGACATATGCAAATCAGAAGTTCTTAACATTCTAAGGAATCTATCATGAGATGTTTTTCCTAAAGCTTTGATTAGCACATCTGCTTCTTGATTTGCAAACCTAACATTATGTAGGCAAATCAACTTTTCTTGCAATTTTTCCTTAATAAAATGACAATAAATTTTTATTTGTTTAGTGCTTTCATGAAACACAGGAATATGTGCTATATATATTGGTGCTCTACTATCACACCACACTCATATTGTATTGGTGTTAGATTGTGCTGTCCCAAGTCCTTCATCAACCCCAAAACCCAAATAATCTCAAAAACAACAGCATTAAGGTCTCTATATTTTACTTCAATTGATGACTTAGTATCTTGTTTCTTTGTTTTCCAACAGATAAAGAAGTCCTTCATCTTTAACAAATAACCAAATGCTAATCTTCTTATGGAGCCCAATCTAAATTGCAAAAACACCTTAATTCTAATTGGTTATAGAACTTGGAAGGATTCCTAAGCTTAGATTGTACTTCAACTATTTCAACGCATTTTTTGCTACAATCATATGTGTTTTTGTTGGGGCTTGCATAAATTGACTCAAGTTTTGCACAAAAAAAGAAATATCAGGATTGGTCATTGTTAAATTAATTAGCTTACTATTAAGTCTCCAACATTCACTTGGATCATTAAGCAATTCCTCCTTCTCATTTCTTCCTTTCTCATATGCTGTAAGTCTCAAATTTTGTGCCATAGACTATGCTAATGGCCACTCATACCTATTCCAAATAGCAAGTCCATCACATATTTTCTTTGGTTCATGATTATACCTGTTTTATCTTGCTATTTCAATTCCCAAAAAGCAACAAACCAAAGTCTTTTATTTTGAATTTAATATGCAAGAAATTCGTACTCAGCTTAATTCCATTTTCTGAGCATCCAGTAATTAACAAGTCATCCACATATACAAATATCAACACAACTCTATCATCAGAATGTTTAACAAATAGAGAATAATAATTCATGCTCTAGTTAAAACATCTTGCCTTTTAAAGCTTGAGCCAATTTATAATTCCATTTGTGAAAGCTTGTTTTAAATCATATAAAAATTTATTAAATTGACAACTTTATTCTTCCCCTTACTGGCAAGACCTTGAGGAATAGTAATATTGACTTCCTCATTCAAGTTACCTTGTAAGAATGCATTGTAAATATCCATTTGATGTAAGGTCTAGTTGTGTTAAGCAGTTAAAGATAGAATAATCCTAACTTTCACCATTTTAACAACTGAGGAAAAGGTTTCTTGTTAATCTATCTCTGTCCTTTGACTGTATCTCTTACCTACCAGCCTAGCTATATATCTCTCAATGCTATTATCAGCTTCATGTTTTACTTTATACCCTATTTACAACCTATGGGCTTCTTTCCCTTAAGTAGCTCTATTATTTTTCTAGTTTTATTATCCTCTAGGCTTTTAATTCAGAATTTATAACATCTACCCATTTTTTATCCTTTATTGCTTCTTCATAGCTCCTAGGTTCAAGATTAGTATTAATATTGTTAGACATAATGACTTGTGACATTATGTGTTAGTTTAAGTTTTGATGATAATAAATATATATGAATTAAATATATTTGTGCCTAATTATTTTCATAGATATATTATGACTATGGAACAAGTGTTTTAAAGTGTTTTTACTTATGTTGTTTCATATTACACAAAATTTGAAAAAATAATTTGTACGCAATAAAGTTATTTTATACTATCATATTTTTATTTATTTTAAATTAATTTTATATCCAAGAGTGTTCATAGTATCATCTTTCATAACTTGGATATATACATATTGACATTTGAACTAACTATTTTATTCATGATATATCATTTAAGGTTATCCAAAGTGAAGATGAGAGTAAGCATGAAGAGGAATAAAGTTTAAGTCATCATTTGCATGCTACACTCATGATTGAAAAACATAAAGATAAAGAGAAGGATAATCCAAGAAAAGCTTAAGAAGAATGAAGACATTCATACAAACTTAAATATACTTTGAAAGCCTTGGACTTGATGGGTATAATATCATTAGCTAGAAATATTTATTTTAAACTCATTGATTTATATATGAAGTATTGGTTCAAGAAATCTTAAATCTAAATATGCATTTTGGCTCTTAAGAGAAAGTGTGATATAATTATTTATAATCATAGTTTTCATCTTTGATCAAATATGTTTCACAAAAGTTGAAATGTTTTGATTACTAACTCCATAAAGTTTTCAAAGTTATTCTATTTACTCAAAATGGAGTTAAGTTAAAAAATTCATGAACACTTGAAGTGTAAGTTTTGAAATGTGAATTGTGCAAAAAATCTATTTTGACCTTTAGTCATGTTTTGTGTCATATCTCTCACTACAAAGATCATTTTAATGTAAAACATATCTCATTTAAAAATACACTCCAGCAACTTTTCAATGATAGTTTATTTATTCAAAATGGAGTTCTATTGAGAAAGATATGAACTTTAAAAATTGAGTATTGAGATATTAATTTCGCACAGATTTTAGTCTTGACCTTCGTCTACTCATTTGATCATATCTCAAAATATATGTAAAATCTGAGTGTGAATTATTTCATTGATAATAGACTTCAAAAAATTTTCAAAAATATATTATTTATCAAATTTGGAATTGTATTGAGTGAGTTAGGACATTATGAAATTTTACACAATAAAGCTGCAAAATCAAGCACGAGAGCAGCAATCAACCACGCCTGATTTAGCACCAGTGCAAAAACTCACGTGAAATCACTTCTCAACCACACGTGAAAATGCATCTAGAAGCTTATTTTCACACTGAGTAGCTTTTGAATGCTTAATCACGCGTGAAACAACCTATATACGAGCAAGAAATGACTTTCAGAAGCCTTATTTTCATTGAATAAGTTCTATACGCCAAATCACACGTGAAGCACTTTCAAAACTCATGTGATATGTCATTTTTGTTTGAGAAACCTCCAAAACACATGTGATTTAGCATTGCTTACTCACAAAATTTAGCACTAACAGCTATTTCACTATGTAACGTCTCTAAATGGTTATTTAATATCTCTAACACATATTTCACTCCATAAGTTATAAATTTAACACTCTAAACTCATCTTGACATATGATTAACCTCATAAATTATTGAATTATGAAATTCATGATCATAGTACTCTTGTTATACAAAAATCATTGTTCTTGAGTCAAGATCATCTATATCTTTATCATTTAAATATTAGAGCTTCATTATACTCATTATTGATCTTAGATATAGTTTCAATTAGGTGATCACACAGTCAAAACCTTTGTAAAGGTGAGGGAGAGATTTTTCTTGTAATCAGGAGAGGTTGTTTTTTAAAGAAAAGAAGCTCACTAGTGAAGTGAGTTATTATAAAGGCTCACAAGTGCCTAAATCAAACTTGTGAATGTACTAAGGTGATAAGCACTCACTCAAGCTTGTGTTATAATGAAAAAATCTCAAGTAGTTAATTGAAGACTAGATGTAAGCTCAAGAGAAGGAACTAAACTAGGATAAATTATTGTTTAGAATCTCTCTTTCCTTAATTCTTTACATCTTTAGCAACATTAACTTATATTATGTTTTAGTATTCAAAATATAATTTGATATATTTACTTGCTCTTACATGAACTTGCACTTGAAAATTGATTTTAAATATTTATATACATATTGAGTTTGTGAAAATAACTTTGACATTCTTACACACATAGTTTAAAACTGAATTTTGCCAAAACCTTCCTTTAAACATAATTTTGCTGAAAAGTTTTAAAAGAACCAAAATTTTCTCAAATATCCAATTGATCTCCTCTTGAGTGTTTTGCCATATCCAACAAATATAAGAGAGAAACCATTTAGAGAATAGAAAATATACTCATAAAAAATTTGAGATTGCATAAGATATTTAATATTAGAAGTATCATAAGCAAAGTAGACATAATGCTTAGCCCATATAGGTAGTCTTTTATCCTGAATAGGCCTGGTGCTACTCTATTCAAGATGTTCAGTTTCATTTATCCCACTATTTTCTATAAGCCACAGGTCCTAGGATTGTAACTTAGCTCTAATACCATGTTAAAACCTATGAATCAATAGATCCATACAAACATATTTGAATGCTACACATGAAGATGCTAAATAATACATTTTGCATTAATTCAGAAAGAGTTATACACAGGTATTTATATAAAATACAACTCAAGTAAACGATAATACCTAAAACTACAAACCATAAGGTGATTGACATCCTACAAATTACATCAGTTATTCTCAATAGGAGCAATTGCAGCAGGAATCATGTTGTTGTTTGTGAGGTTTATTTTATTCTTTCTATAGGATATATTATCCATTGTGATTTGATTTTGGTCAAATTTTGTCCTATTACCACGATGA